TAATTTCTTCTACAGGTGAGAGAGAGAGAATTAAAACTTGGAGACTAGTGATGAGGAGAGTGTTACAGCTTCTGAGCTCTTCAATGAGTAGGAACTCAATTTAAAAATTAAATGGCCTCGAAGCTTTCAGAAAAGCCGGAGCCACAAGTTTTAAGTTTACGGAGCCTAACTAGCTTCCCCATGGTCTTGGCTATAACCCAATAAGTATGTTTGGATTTTGGATGCCTCTAACCCCAAAATTTTTGTCTATGGATCAACACACATCTGATCTAACATGACAATCTCCCATTTTTTCTAGGTATTTCTCCAAACACAATAAGAGATTCTTCTAATATTTATGGAGGATTAACAACTATTGGAAATGCTCATTTATCTCTTTCACAGCAACGAAGTCCAAATGCTAACGCAATAATTCCTATACCGTTAACCGAATTCGCAACTCATATAGAACGACAAAAAATTAATAATAATAGAGGGTTTATACAGGAATTTGAAAGTATTGATACCGGGCAACATTTTACTTGGGAAAATTCTACAATGGAGGTTAATAGGCACAAAAATCGGTAAAATTCGGAAGAAATCTGTTGAATATAATTTAATATTTGAGCTATGCTAACGTTGTGGCTTATGACCATTCGAGGGTAATTCTGCCCCCGGAAGATGATGAAGATGGCTGTCTGGAGCACCTACCTGGCAGTGATTATATTAATGCTAATTATATCGATGGGTAAATTTTTTAATGGAATACGGTTGGAGACAGCTTTAAGATACTCCTAGAATTGAATATCCCTAAACTTTTTTTAGTTTTGTTAGTAGATGGTGTGTGAAGGGTGTCGAGAGATACCTAAGCGATAACCCTCACACTATATCACTGCTTTTTTAAGCTCTAAATTTGTATCATTTGACGAGGCCGGTTTGTGGAAGGGGAAAGCGAGGGACCTACCCAACCTATAACACTAAAGTCAACTTTCAGTTATGACAGACCAAAGGCTTACATAGCTACTCAAGGCCCTTTACCCGAAACCTTTGCCGACTTTTGGAGGATGGTTTGGGAAGAGAGATCTTACACAATTGTTGTCCTCACTCGATTAGAAGAGCGTTCTAGATCAAAATGTGACCAATACTGGCCTAGTAGAGGGTCGTCTCTTTATGGCAGTTACAAAGTTACTTTGATGGAGACAACAGAATTGGCTCATTACTGTATCAGAACGTTGAGATTAGAAAATACAAGGCACAGGAATGAGCCTGGAAGAGATATCCAACATTGCCAGTTCACTGCTTGGCCAGATCATGGAGTGCCTATCCACCCTACTCCTTTCTTAATGTTCCTTAAAAGAGTGAAGGCACTTAATCCAATGCAAGCTGGACCTATTATAACACATTGCAGGTGATTATAATTAAAAATAAATTATATAACCGATCCTATGTATCAAAAATTAGTGCTGGGATTGGCCGTACCGGCGCCTTTATAGTCATTGACTTTCAACTTGATCGGTTGCGCTATGAGAATTCCTTGGATGTCTATGGCTGTGTTAGAGCTATTAGATCTCAACGGCAATATATGGTTCAAACAGATGATCAATACATCTTTATACATGATGCTTTGCTTGATGCAGCCCAATCGGGGTCTACAGAAATACCAAATTCTAAGCTGTAAATCCCATCCCTCTTTTAAATTTTTAAAATTCCAATTTAAGCCTTCAACATGTCCAGACCCTTTCAAGGCCCCAATTGCATAGTGAATACACTGGAATTGACATTGAATTTAATGTAGGAATATTTCGAAAAAATATTTTCTGCAAAAAATTTTTTTAAAGACCTTAATGTCTCTGAGGGTGCCAAAATGTTATCGTGCTACAGTAGCCAATGCGACTTACAATATTAATAAAAATGTTAAATTGACTGTTGTTCCGTGGGATTTTAACAGGGTTGAGCTGCCTAGACAGTTTCCAAAATCTGTTATAGATAACGATGAAAATGGGGACGATGAAGGAGATTATATTAATGCTTCTTGGATTGATGGATATAGGTATGTGGAGTGATATTATAATTAAATAATCGGATTTGGACGTGATATCGTGTGAGTAATAGAGATTTGGTGGGAGATCGGAGGATCTAGCGAGGGTAAGGATGGGCTGAAGTGATATTGGTTGATTGGAGAGTTACCTGGATCGGTGCTGTGATCTTAATTCATCAATAACCTTCTCAATTTTTTATCAATTACTCTCTATCCCTTCTAATCTTACAAATCAACCGATATACTTCTTAACCCCTAAAGCTGGATAGTATTTTTTAACAAAACTAGTATCTTTCCAGATCTAGACGTTCTTATATAGCCACCCAACTTCCCATGGCTAATACCGTAGCTGACTTTTGGCGTATGCTTTGGATTCATGAATGTTGTAAGTTTACTTAATATGAACTTTTATCTCAAACAAAAAATTTCCTTTAAGCAATCGTAGCAATGCTAGTAAAACAACCTAACGAACAAGGCGAACGTTTCTTCGAATATTGGCCAAGTCCAGGATACCCAGAAAACTATAATGGTTTAAACGTCGATTTTGTATCAGAATTTGACATGGGGCACTATTGGCTTCGCGAATTTAAAGTGACTGACGAAGCGCATCACTCAAGGACCATTCGTCAGTTTCAGTTCATTGATTGGGCTGTCGATTGTCATGGAAGAGCGATTGGGGATGTACCCCTAAACTCTGAAAGATTTGTTGATTTTGTACGTCAACTGCATCAAACAAAACAACAGTTTGGTTCGGTCGGTCCTATCTGCGTTCATTGTCTGGATGGGGCTGGACGGACAGGGACTTTCATTGCTGTTTCCTTGATTGTTTGCAGGTGACTTTAAAAATATGAGTAATTATAATTAAGGAGGGGAGGGAAGGAGCTTATTGAGGGGTAGAAGGGATGGGTCTTATAGCGAGTCAGATAGGAGGGAAGGAGCTTATCGTGAGGGAGACTGATAGGGAGGAGGGAGAAAACAGGGGGAGCTTATACCAATGGGCTTATTGGTAAGCCTAAAGTGTCTGCTCCCATTGTTAAAAATCCTCTAAAAATTCTTTATAGGGCTCAACTTGAACATGTTGTTGACCTCTTCACAACAGTAAAACTATTGAGAATGCAGAGGCCAAATATGGTAGAAACTAGGGAACAGTATGAATTTTGTTATAGAGGAGCAATTGACTTTCTCTCCTCTTGGGAGGAAGGATGCTGAAGATTAAAAAATAGCTGAAATTACGTCCGGTGAACAACCAAAAAACAAGATAATTAGTGAAAGAGGCAAAACTATTAAATACTAATCCCTTCAATTTTTTTGAATTCTATTTGGGTTATTCTCTTCCTTCCTCAAGTGCCTCTGTTCAAAAAAAATTTACAAAAAAATCTACAAAAAATTACAAAAAAAATTTTTTCAATTCACCTTTCAATTTTCATGTTTTCTGTTACCTATTTAATTAATAACTTTTGTTAATGATCTCAAATACATTTAATTTCTTAATTTTCTATAATTTTAATTTTTGATCATGAAACATATCCAATGATAAAATTTATGAATAATTTTGAAGGATATTTTTTATAGTATTATTGGTGCTCTACCGTTAGTCCATGTAAGACAAGCTAGGTGCCGTGGCTCTACCTCTGAGTTGTTGCTCTGCTCTACCTCCAAGCTGTTGCCCTCCTTCTACCACCGAGCCGAGAGTGGCTCAACCTCTAAGTTGTTGCTTTACTCTACCTCCAAGCTACCATCGAGCCGAGAGGTGGTAGCTTGGAGGTTCGTAGCTTGGAGGTTCTACAACCGAGCTGAGAGAGAATAAGCGGAAAACTTAGCTTATTTAACCTAAGCATTTTATAAATGATTAGGTGACTCGGATCTTTATTAAAATAATTCAAATTTGATCCCCCAACTTTTCCCTCTCCTCTTACAAATTTGACCCAATTTGGCTGCCCTTCTTAACTAATCAACAAAAATTACTAGCACATCCATCTCCCACCTGTCCACTTTTTTATTACGTCTCAAGGCCAGCTGCCTATTAGAGCTTCCTATCAAAAAAATTTTTTTAAAAAGAATTCTTTGTTTATTAGTTGGTTTTGCTTAAAAAAATGTTTGCGCAATTCTGTAGAGTAAAAAATAAGGGTATTAAAAGTAGAGTAGGGTAGAGAGAGAATATCCCTCTCATCATTAAAATTGCGTGAAAGGGAGGTCATTTATAGCTATTTTGTGTTTTTTTTTGTTTTAAAACCAAAAAAAGGTTGTCAGCTTTTCGCTCCAGTCATTTTTAAATTTTCAACTAAAAATTTGGAAAATGACTCTAAAATTAATTAAAAATAAAAAATTAGTTAGGCAATCCAACAATTATTTTAATTTAAACTTTATTTATTTTTATTTGTTAATTTTATTTTTGCCAACCTTAAATTCTGTTAATGAGGATAATTCACAGGCAGTGGTTACTCGGAAAATTTTACATAGGAATGGAATTAAGGGTAATAATTTATTAAATTATTATATTTCTTCCGGAAAAGCATTATTAATATTAGTATATTTTCCGGAAAACATAGTAGCTATGGCTATATTTATATTTCCGTATTTATAGTTCCGGAATAGATTGCTTCCGGAAAAGTATTATTAATATTAGTATATTATCCGGAAAACATAGTAGTTATGGCTATATTTATATTTCCGTATTTATATTTCCGGAATAGATTTAGTTTTATAGTTATTCCTATAAACCTTAAAATTTCCTGAAAATATAATATTACTAGTATTACTATCAATTTCCGGAAATATATTTTACTCTTAAAAATTATAGTATAGGTTCTGATTTTATAATTACTTGATAAATTAAACATCCCGGAATAAATAATTCTCGAAAAAACAATTGAGAATTTTCTCAATTTCAGAATTTGCGGTCCAGAAACGCATCAAAGACTTTGACTGCGCTTGCTTCTGCTTATGTTCATTACCTAATTCTTCTGAAGCAAATGCCCAGTTAATGAAAATGATGCCAACTGGAAACTTTAGTGAATTAATTGGGCCAATATTTGGAAAAAGTTTCAAAATTCTTTATTCTATTCAAGTATAATTATCTATTAAGCTTTTTCTATCGACAAGGATATTCGTGGAAATCACTGTAAATGTTCCTGTGCCTGTAATAATTTGGAAAAAGGATTAAATAAAATTGAAGAACGACAAAATATAGAGGAGAATGTGCCGTTTTCAACTGATAAAGAGACTAAAACAAGCAAAAAATCAGCTACATTAAGAGATAATAGTGAACCAAGCAGCTTCAGAAGTGAGAAGACTAATGAGCTTGCTTCGACAACAGTAACGATAACTAAAATTACCAATGAGTTTAATGATAATGGAACCGAATTAAGCAAGGATAATGTTAAAAATAAGCAAAAAAGTATGGGAATTACTATAGAAAGCAATACTGAAGCAAGTGAAACAACCAAGGGAAATGTTGAAGCAACGGAAACAAGAACTGAAGAAAGTAAAGGATTAACTGAAGCAAATGAAACAGGCAAAGAAACTGCTAATGAAAGATTAGTATCAAAAATTGAAGCAACTAATGAAGCAAAAGAAACTACTAAAACTGATACGGTACTGTTGAAAGCAAGTTCTGAAGCAAGCAGTGAAGTAAGAGAAGCTATAGAAACTAGCACAGAAATATTAAAATCAAGTTCTGAAGCAAGTTTAGAACCTATAGAAACTACAAGAACGGATACAAGTGAAGCAACTATTGAAGTAATCGAATCAAGCAGAAATACTGAGACCAGTACAATTGAAGCAATCACAAATGAACTTGAAGCAATTACTAGAGTGATTGAGACTAGTACTAGAACAAGTGAAGCAAACAATGAATTAATCGAAACAAGCATAAGTTCAACTGAAGCAAGCAAAGAAATGAATAAATCATTTAAGCAAGTTACGGAAGCAAGCAAAGAATTAGATGAATCATTGAAGCAAGTGACTGAAACAAGCACTGAAAAAATTAAAGGAAGCAAAATAATAGTTGAAGCAATTACAGAAAAGGCCGAAACAACAAATAAAGCTATAGAAACAATTAAGAATACTAGTGGACCAGCTAATGAAGCGAATAACCCTAGTAGTGAATCAGTCGAAATGACCAAAAGAACCCCTGAAGTATTGGAATTAAATGCTACAACTGTTGAAACAAGTATTGAAGCGGTTCAAACAAATAAAGAATCGGTTGAAGCTGATGCCACAAAAGTTGAAGCACAAACTGAAGCAGCTCAAACGAGCATAGGAACAGCTGAACGAACTAATGAGATAACTAAAACAAGAAATGAAATACTTGAAGCAAGTACTGAAGCAGCTAAGACAAGCAGTTTGCCAAGTGAAGCAAGAACTAAAATATCTGAAACAACTAAAGAACAAGTTGAAGAACTTAATAAGGAAGAAGAAAAATTGAGATTTGAGCAGCAAGTTCCAAAATCTATGACCACACCATTAGCTACAAATTTAGTTTCAAACTCAGAAGAAGCTGAAACTGAAGCAAATAACGAAAAGCCGTTTAACAGTGAAAATAAGTTTGAGAATAATGAGGAACTAAAGAACCAAAACAATGAAGCAACACAAACAACGGATGATCATCAAGAACCGATAAAAAATGGCAACGATAATCTTTTCGGCCAGACTTTTCCACCTGAATTTAAAGCAAAAGTTGCCAATCTGCTTAATAGACTTAAGGAACAATTAATGCAATTAAGACAAATTGAAGCTGAAACATCGGAAATGGGGGAAAATGAAGGGAGAGATGAAGATGGTGAGAAAAAATCGAGCAAATTTGATAGAAAAACAGAAGAATTGCTTTATCAGGTAAATATTTGAGGGATGCTTTAAATTTAAATTTTTAAAATTATAAGGTAGATCAACAAGTATCGAGTATTATTAAAGAAAATAGGGGTGAACCACTGAAGAGTAATCTGAAATATAAAGATCAACTAGAGACAATCAGTCCATTAGTTGAGGATACTGAAGCTTCTAGTTCAGCTTTATATTCAGTTACTCCCTCAACATCTTCTTCCTCGTTGCCTCCTTCATCCTCCTCTTCCTTACTACCTTCCACTGCTTCATCATTATTTTCATCATCCCCTCAATCACAGCTAACTTCAAACTCATTCTCTTCATCATTAAATACATCACCATCTTCAACGTCATCTCATACTCCAACACCGCCCTCCTCTTCAACGTCATTTCCTTCAACTCCTACTACTTCACCCAAAACCTCCCAACATCCTTTTACTCTTCCATCATTACTTTCATTATTCCAATCATCACAATTAGCTTCAGATTCGTCCTCAAATATCCTAAATACTCCTATATCATCTTCAACATCTTTATCATCATCTACATCATCTTCCTTGCCTGTTTCCGCTTCACCTAGACCTACTTTATCAACAACATCAGCTTTCAAGCCTTCTTTCAATTCCTCGACAATTTCTCTTTCCAACCCCTCTTCCAACTCTTTAACATCTCAACATGCATCTTCATTTTCTACAACATTGCCTCCTTCAACATCCACATTATCAGCTTCCTCAGTGTCTCTTTCAACAAATCCTACTTCATCACCATTCTCTCCCTCATCTTCAAGCTATACAGTATCATCCATAACATCCTTCCCTCCTCAAATAACATCTACAAACTCTTCAATAAACTCATCCAGTTCTTCATTGAAAAACATTATAAACCAACCCCACTCATTAAAAGAGCAAAAAACCAATTCTACAGAATCCATAACTCCTGCTTTTAAAGCTAGATTAGCAAATTTGTTAAATCGGCTTAAAGAACAATTATTCAGATTTCGGGAATTTCAGCAACGCCAACAATTATTGCTTGGGTTACCGAATAATAATGGTACTATTAAAAGATTATTAACTAAAATAATTATTCCTAAAAATAGTAACCGAAGCAAAAAGCCAATTTTACGGAGCTTCAACTGAAAGGAGTATAATTAATATTGAAAATGCTACAGAAACTGCTTCAATAATAGTAATTAAATTAATTTAAATAAATATTCTGGTTGAAGTTTATTTAGAGGATAAGGTTCTGATTTCCTAAATTCTGAATTTATATTTTTTCTGATCATAGTTCTGAATTTTTTTATTTTGATCAATTCTGAGGTTTTATTATTCTGATCCTATGATTTTTAGTATTGTGATAATAATTCTGATTTTTATTACCTTAATTATAATTTTGATGTATTATTATTATGATAGTATAAGGTTCTGAATTTTGATTTCTATTTTTCTGTTAACTAAAATATTCTGAAGAGTTAATTAAGTAAATTATAACCTAAATTCTGGTTTAATCTTATAATTCGAATCTTATAATTTAAACAAATTTAAATCAGAATTTTAAAATTTTAGCAGACTAAAACTGAAGCAAATGAAGAGGATTCTTTTGCGTTTGTTACTGAATCATCTATTATAGATGAAGGTTTTTAAATTTACCTTAAAATTTTCTGAATTATTTTAAAGCTACAGTATCCTCTCTCTCTCCTTCCACAATTGAGTGGGATGAATCTCCCTCCTACTCTTCCTCCCAACCAACAACGGTTAAAACAACAACTGAAGCAACAACTGAAACACCACCTGAAGCAACAAAAGCAACAGCTTCAACTCCTCTAAAACCACCAAATAAAACAAACAAAAATAAATTAGATGATAATAATTATCGTCTTTTATTCCCTCTTTCCAACAATGATTTTTCTATGGACTCCAAACCTGTTCAAAAATTGAATGATAAAGAGGAAAAAATAAATCTGGACAGGGAAAAGTTGGAAGATTCACAGATTAAAAGGATTATACTACTCGAAGCACCAAAAAATAATTTTTGGACTAGAAGCACAGCCACGGGTACTCCATCAATTAATTTAACCACTACAAGTACTACTCCAACTACTACATTACAAAATATAACTGAAACTGAAGCAGCAACAACAACAACTCTTATAATAAATACAACCACAGCCTCAGAAGAGGAAAATAGTAGTAATGAAGCTCAAGAGACGACAATGAATGTTGCTCCGTATGCTTCAAGTTTAGTTGAGAGACTTGCACTGGTGAGAAATAAATTCTATAAATTCCTAGCAGTGCTGTGTATGGCTATAGGAGTTAGCTCCAGAGCTCTTTGAAAACTTTGAAACCCTGGAGCCTGAGTCCATAAAATGAAAAGCCCTGAGCCGGAGCCACAAAATGCCTGATCCCAGCCCTGATTCCATGTTCATTTTTGTAAATTTAATTTCAAGGCTCGCCGTTTGCGCGAAGAGCAAGTAAAGTTGGAAATGATGGAAGCTGTAAGGCAAGAACAATTGGGAATAAATGAACCTGATCCTCAACGTAGATTTTAAAAAATTAAATAAATTTCTAAAAAATTCCAGTGACTGAGAGAAAAAAGGAGATAGAGAATCGACTTTTACAGTTGGCGCATGCCGAACGGTTTCATCGAGCAATGCTGGAACGGCAAAAGATTGAGCAACAATTGGAAAAGCAAAAGTCGAATGAGAGAAGGGTAGAAAAAAATTTTTTTTTGGATTTTCTGAACCTAAGAAAATTTTTTTTTCGAATTTTTAGTACCCAACTACATCAGAAAAATCATTAGAAACAACAACTCAAACACAAGCACCTTCTAATAATGAAAACAATTTAAATATTTGCGAACGTGTAGTACGATTTATTCGACTTTTTAAAATTTCAAGACCTCGCCTTTGGATCGAAACAAATTGTAAATTTGCCAAAAAACATTTCCCTAATGCTAGTTGTGAGAGAATTGGGGGACTTTTAAATGAGTGTTTGATGGAAGAAAGGAAGAGGATAAATAAGGAAGAGGACGGAAGAAGAGAAAATGAAGGAAGAAAAGAAAATGAAGGAAGAAGGGAAGATGAGGAAAGAAGAGAGGATGAGGAAGAAAGTGATGATAAGAAAAGATAAAAAATATTTTAAAATTTTTTAATAGCTTCCAAGAAGGGTTATAAATTTTTAATAATTTTTTATAAATTATAATTTCAAAATTACAAAAGAAGGTATTTTTATCGTTTATGGTTTCTTAGAGTTGTAACTTATGTGTTATAGTGTAGGACCTTTGAAGACAAGAATAAAAAATATCAGTGGGATGAATAATGTTTATAATCTTGCATCGGAGAATTCTTCCTCCTATTTTTTGGGTCGTTATAATATTTTCAAGGATAGTCTCGGACACTTAGTTTGAACATAATTTTTGTGATATCCATATTAATTAATTTACCACACACATTAATTAATGTTTAGTAATTATAATATTTTTAATTAGCTAAAAATTAACTGAAAATATTTGCTGATTCATAAATTTCTAACGCTAATTAGCTATTTAACTAAGCTAAAACCGATCGTCAATTATAACTATCATTCAAAATAAATTTAAAAATAAAATTAAAATATTAAAATAATGCTTAAATCTGCCATAATATTTATCCTAATATCTTTCTTTAAATTTGCATCACCAATAGAATGGAAGATAGATGGGAATGTGGAGTGCAAAGAAAATATTCACGGATTAGGAGAATTTTCGTTTCTTCTACAAGAAGCAATCGTTAACTTCTATGAAAGAGATAGCGGAAGTAAATTTTTTAATTGTAAAACTTAATTTAATCTTAATAAAACTTAATCTTAATTTATATACAGAGAAGGGTTTAATTTTTGGAGTTGGTGATCGGGATGATCATTTGGATGGACCTGTTCTAACTGATAGTTTCGGACACTTCCATGTTGAAGGACACGAATTTGAGACCTTAAGTGTAGAACCTTACTTAGAAATTGACCATTTATGCTATACACCAACATCAAAACAGCCACTACTAAATGTAAACATAAATTTTATCAATTTATTTTTAGTTATTTGATATTAAGTGATTAATTGATAAAAAAATGAAACCGGGCTTTCCTAATCTGATTGGTTAGGAAATCTAAAATGAAAACGATCAGACGCTTACCGTATACCCTGTATTAATAAATAATTACCACACTTCCATTAATTACCCCATCCAGCCATAGATTGAAACAATAATTACGCCCAAACAAATACCCTAAAACACGTTCAACTTTTAAACTTCGTATAATTACCCTCCTTCGATTAATTACTCCCTCCAGCGGAAGGTCGAAACAATAATTACCCAGGGTGGTTATTAAAGGATATACGGAGGTGTAGGGTTGTGGTTTTTGAATCGGGCCGGCGTTCGAGTCATTTTTATCGGGCCGGATCTCTGCTCTTTTCTAGTCATGGGTTTAGCCGTTTTATTTATAATTTTTTGTTCTAACTTTAAGGTTTAATAATATCAAATAAATTTAGGGATGTTATTACAGAACTCTAGTCGAACTAGACCAAAATAAGAAAACCGACAATAAACAGAATGTCCACATCATCCTTGGAATAGAAAGTGCAAGATTAATTAGTGGAAAAGGAAAAGATTTATTAATAAAGACAGAAGTTCTCTGTCCTGATAAATAATACTATCATGAATTTTATTTAACATACAATGGATTTAATAAATCACAAAATATCTTGAATATATTTGTGTTCAAAAATTTATTCTAAGGATCTAGAATCTGATTGACTGTCATGCCATTTTTCGTTCTTTCAAGAGCAGTGTTTGGAAGCTCGTACCAAAATTTGTACACGTAACTTATACGAGTACGAGCATATAAACTATCTAGAATAGACAGTTACTCGATCTCGGTTTTTCCCAATTACTCCGTACTCGACGTACTCTACGTTAAAATAAAGTTTTAACGTCTAAAAATAATATTTAATTACAATTTTCTTGCCTAACAATTAAATTTTCTTTGTGAAATTGTTGCGAGTTTCCATTGGAAACCTAAAATTATTACATGCCTATTAACATTAAAATAATTATTGTTTCTTTATTAACCAGCAGGAAATGTTTCTTACATTATTAGCCTATTATTTAACGTTAATATTTAATAAAAAAATTGAAAATAAATTTTATTTATGATTTTTCCCTTATTATTTTTGGGCAAATTAAACAAAATTTTTTATTGCGAATAATTTTCAGTTCAATTTTGATCGATTTTTTTAAATTTTCACGTCCTTACTATTTTTTATTTGCCTTTAACTTTCATTTAATACCTCTCTCTACCTCCCCAATTTTTATTCAAACAAATTATTTACTTAAATGCGTACAGTGAATCACTAGGAGATTAATAGTGGTGGATGTTTAGGCGCAGAATTGAGCTGACACAGGGACTGACTTTTGGTCTTTTAAACTTTTTTTTTTGATTTTCCTCCAAATTTTCCCGATTTAGAAAATAGACGAACACATTCGAGAACCTGTTTCCAGTTCGAAGGGAAATTTCCAAATTTTCTCTCCAATTCCAGGTTCTTTACAACTTGGCATTGTTTCTCTCTCACTCATACACATACAGTTTCCCTCACTCACTCATTAACAATTTTCCTCTTTTGAAGAGAGAGAATTATAGAATTATACACGTCTTATCCCTATCTATTACTCTTAGAATAAATTTAAGTTTTAATATGTTTGCCAATTAAAATATTATGTACTGGGCCAAAAATTTACTCAAGCCCTTGCGTTTGAGCGCCTAAAAGTGTCAGCCGAGAGAACCTACCTAAATATATTTTTATTTGTATTAATTTCTCTCCATTTAGTTTTATTGAACATTAAATGTTAATATTCACCAAAAAATTATTCTAATATTCAAATACATTATTGGCAAGATAAACCGCAAAAATATTTATTAATTAGTTCATTTTGTCCTTATTGATAGGAGGCTTGCCTCAAGGCCTATAATTAATTTTAAAACTGATGAACTGCTTAGATTTTGGTGCCAATCGACGTTATCATCGATAGCTGTCGAATGATACCAAATATGGCGGGATTCGGAATTTAATTTAGGAAAATCCAGCCTTGAGGAGAAATGGACTCCTTAAAAGATTTAGATAATTTAAGAGCATTTCTATTAAATAAAAATGAATTCTTCAAAAAATATGGAGGCTTCCAATAATGATATGACTTGTTTACCAACATCATCCTCAACAAACATGCCAAACTCGCGTGTTTGTTCAGTCTGTTCTGGGCCTAGCAACGGTTTTTATTTCGGTGTACTTTCATGCCGCGCATGTGCATCCTTCTACCGACGCTCATTCTTTGAGAAACGAAGATTTTTGTGCCGGAGATTTAATAATTGCGATATTAATGCTGGTTGGTTTATTAATAAGTGATTAATCTTCTTCAACGTAGTCCAGAAAATAAGAAAATAATAAAAAATTCGAAAGCACTCAAAAGCTTGGCACAACGAGCTTTTTGGCCGCTAAATTTTCAAATTTTAATATGAAAAGTTCATATTTTATAGTAGCCTCCAGATAATCAGAAATATTTTCTAACCAATCATAAATAAAGTCAAAATATTCATTTAATCAGATGGTATGCGTAATTCATGCCGTGCCTGTCGCCTTCGACGATGTCTTGAAGCTGGAATGAATATCGAATCCAGTATCTTTGAATCTAAAGGCAGACTTTACACCAAAACAATTCATAAAACATTTGAAATTTAAGGCAGTAAATCAGCATTACCTAATAAAAATTTGGATGTCGAAACACCGTCAACGCCTAGTAGCGTGTTAAATATTGATAGCCTATCTAAAGTTGTTTGAATTTAAAGTTCTGATATTAAATTTAATTTTTAAAGATTTATGTCAACCTATCTTTTGATAAATCGCTTCCAACTATAACACACTTTTTAAAGTCGTTGCATGATATGGAAGTTGGATATAAGGCTTTATCTAGTGTTTTGGGGAAATGGGATCCTAAGCTTGTCGAGGTTTGAGTTTAATTATAAATTTTTAAAGAGTGTCAGGATTTTTAGAAAATCAAAACATTGAAAACGTAGAAAAATCTGGACATTGAAAACGAGCTTTTTATTAGGATAAATTATGTCAAAGTTTTCTTGCAGCTCAGTAAACACGTGCTGAAAACGGGCGTCTTAAAGAGCTGCAGGCTATAAAAATAAAATCAATAGTTTTATTATCTCAATCAATGTTGGAGTATATTTTTTAGGACAATTAGGGTCATTACGATAAGATGATAAAAGTAAAAAATGATAAAAGAAAAAATTAACCAAAATTTAACGAAAGTTGAAAAAAATAAACACAGCTTTTTAAACGCTTGAATGAATTGTGTGTTTCGCTAAGCTGTCATACTGTATTTATTCTTTTTAGTCAATTCGAACTCTAAGAATTTTTTAAAAAATATTAAATTAATTTTATATTAAATGTTAAATTAATTCATATTTCGTCTCAGACGCATTCACATGTATATCATATCAAGATGCAAGAATATATGAAAATACGTAGGGGAGAAGCAATGCTTGTATTGTCCTTAATCCGTGAACATTTTCCCGAATTTGATAAATTATCTGGTCAAACACAAGTTTGTGTGATATTCTTTTTTTAATAATTTTTTAAAATTTAGATTATGATTTTAAAAAATTTTGCGTTTCGAGTCCTTTTTATGCAACGGGCTGAAATGACCGTAAGAATTAAAATTTAATTAATTTTTTTTTGAAATTTCTGGACCTTAAAATTTCCTTTAAAATCGATATCTTCCTTTGTATATTAAAAAAATACAAAAGAGCATTATTTATTGCTAAAATATTATTGACAGCCGGGCGAAGGAGAAGCGAGCGCTCGTCCTCTACATACATGTAATCCTAGATTGATTAATTTTATTAGTTTTTTTCTAACGTTTTGGAAAAAGAATTAGTATAGAAAATAATAAAAAAATTAAAAAATTATAGTTTTAAAAAATAAAATAGCCAGAAAACTAGTAATTTTATCATAAAAAGCCTAATTTACGCAAGTTTTTCGTCCACAACTTTTTTAAATATTGAACTAAAATTAAACTTTTATAATTATTTCTTAGAACATTTAATTCTCTATTAAACACAATTTAAATTATTCAAAAAAGTTAATTTTTGATCGAGTTATGGTCGTTGGCGCTTATGATGTCCAACTAAGCTTATCGGAAACCCCTTCTCTTTTAAGCCTAAAAATAAACTTTTTCTTATTAATAAAAATTTTAATAATTTTTTCCTCTCGGATTTCAGATAAAAACATTTCCCGACCAAACTAAGGAATGTAAGCAAATGATAATTCATCCAGGTTGTGTTGTTGATGGACGTCGGATGGAACTATTTGTTGGGGAAGAAACAATTCAGTGTTTTGATGACCAGAAACGGTTGGGAATGAGGGAGAGATTCTTGTAAAAATAAATGGGATAGTGGAACTCGAAATTAAAAAATTATCATGAAGATAACTTTTCCCAAAGCCAGGAAGAGTTATAATATGTTAATAGAGAGATTGATCTAAATGAGAAATTGATTAAGCTTTCAAATCAGCTATAAAGCTCTTAGAAATTCTGACAAGAGCTTTTGTCGCTCCAAGGTTTTTTGTAGCTCCTATCAATCATTTTTCTAATACAGACACCATCTCTGGCATTATTCAAATCTGTTCCAATTCAGAGCATTTAAAAATTTTGAGTTTAAGTCTACTCTTTCTGAAAGCTCCGGTAAAGCTTCCAAAGAGAGTTAGCTTAAATTTTAAAAAATAAAAAAAAGTTTTCTGGTCATCAAAACATTGAAATATTCAGGGAAGAATTTATCAAGTTTGTTTGAATCATCTTATGCATTTATGAAATTATTTTTAGACATTTCTACTCTATATTTGAAAAGCATGCAAAAATGACCATGGAGCAGTACCGCCCTTTGGAAATTTCACCTCCTGAATTTGCTGCAATGATAGGAATACAATTATGGAATTGTGGTATTTCTATAGATTCTTAGCTTTCCTAGATTTTGTGGGATACCATTAGGGACTTAATAATAAAAATAAATCTTATCATAGACCCAATAGTCTTAGGTCCCAAATATCAGTAGCTTAACATTTTCGATCAAATTCCGAAGATTTTTCGATCAGTCTTTGTTTGGCCTTCAAAACTAAACATTCAACCATCTAAAAACGTCCCGGCAACCAACTCCAAATTCTATTAAACAAACATTCGATATAAGCGACTTATGCTCTCATTGACACCTCATTATCACTTCGCATAATAGTTTATTAAAGAATCATTTTTGGCTAAAAAATCATCATTTGATCATCCCTAGTCGCTAATAATGGGATCTGACCTATTCAAAATTCACTCAATAAAATAAAAAAATATTTAAGTGGAAAGATATGCACCCCAGATAGATTTAATATCTGAAAAACGCAACCAACTTTATTCTGAACTTTTATCTGTTCTGGCACAGAGGTTGGGTTCTGATTCTGCTGCTATCGGCGTTCGCTATGGCCGAATAATGGGTCTTATACAAAATATTACTGTTGGTTTTAATTTTATAAAAAGTTGCTTTAATACACAAAACAAATTTGAATCTAAGACAATATCCTTTAAGAGATTAAGAAGCATATTTTGATAAAAAGTAGGAAATTTTTGAAGCAAATATCATCTGTTACGTTTCTAAGAATACATCAGAATTAAGCTTGAATCTAGCTTCAATGCTTCAAAAAATCTTGCTTATAAGAGATAAGCTTTGTTTCTTAATTTTGCTTCTGAAATATCATGCTTCTGAATCTTACCTCTGTAGCAAGATTTCAAGAAAGTATTTCGAAGCTGTCATGCAGAAGCATAATTCAGAATTATTTTCGAGATGTTACAGAAGTGAAGCTACTATACGAAAACGTTTTTTAATATACTTCAGAAATATTTTCATAAATCTTCAATTTTTATTCTTATTTAAAGATTCATTTACACGATTTGGAGGAAATAAATACTTTATTAAAAATTTTTATGCCAATGCCCTTTTCTGACATCTGGGATGAATTGAAGAACGATAAGCATTATAATGATAAAGAAATATTATCAATAGAAGTTGAAAAAGATAATGGATTTTATCCAAATTTTTAACACTCTTCAATCCTACCTCATCTAAATAATTTCCTTTATTGAAATTGTAAATTTAATAAAATGGATTTGCTTTGAATATCTTACTATAGAAATTTTAGAAATAAAAAATTTTTTTATTCCTTTTTGAATAAAATAATAGTACTATTTTATTATCAACTAGATTTTCAACTAAATTTTTAAAAACTTTATTGAAACTTGAAACTAATTGTATATTATAAGAAGGATTGGCAATCCTTCTTCAAATATATCCATGATTTCCCATGGTTCCAACTTTTTAAAAATTTCGGTTAAATTTGGTCAATTGAGTACAAGTTGTAAGGTGTTTCAACTAAATTTTTAAAAACTTTATTGAAACTTGAAACTAATTGTATATTATAAGAAGGATTGGCAATCCTTCTTCAAATATATCCATGATTTCCCATGGTTCCAACTTTTTAAAAATTTCGGTTAAATTTGGTCAATTGAGTACAAGTTGTAAGGTGTTTCAACTAAATTTTTAAAAACTTTATTGAAACTTGAAACTAATTGTATATTATAAGAAGCATTGGCAATCCTTCTTCAAATATATCCATGATTTCCCATGGTTCCAACTTTTTAAAAATTTCGGTTAAATTTGGTCAATTGAGTACAAGTTGTAAGGTGTTTCAACTAAATTTTTAAAAACTTTATTGAAACTTGAAACTAATTGTATATTATAAGAAGGATTGGCAATCCTTCTTCAAATATATCCATGATTTCCCATGGTTCCAACTTTTTAAAAATTTCGGTTAAATTTGGTCAATTGAGTACAAGTTGTAAGGTGTTTCAACTAAATTTTTAAAAACTTTATTGAAACTTGAAACTAATTGTATATTATAAGAAGGATTGGCAATCCTTCTTCAAATATATCCATGATTTCCCATGGTTCCAACTTTTTAAAAATTTCGGTTAAATTTGGTCAATTGAGTACAAGTTGTAAGGTGTTTCAACTAAATTTTTAAAAACTTTATTGAAACTTGAAACTAATTGTATATTATAAGAAGGATTGGCAATCCTTCTTCAAATATATCCATGATTTCTTATGGTTCCAACTTTTTAAAAATTTCGGTTAAATTTGGTCAATTGAGTACAAGTTGTAAGGTGTTTCAACTAAATTTTTAAAAACTTTATTGAAACTTGAAACTAATTGTATATTATAAGAAGGATTGGCAATCCTTCTTCAAATATATCCATGATTTCCCATGGTTCCAACTTTTTAAAAATTTCGGTTAAATTTGGTCAATTGAGTACAAGTTGTAAGGTGTTTCAACTAAATTTTTAAAAACTTTATTGAAACTTGAAACTAATTGTATATTATAAGAAGGATTGGCAATCCTTCTTCAAATATATCCATGATTTCCCATGGTTCCAACTTTTTAAAAATTTCGGTTAAATTTGGTCAATTGAGTACAAGTTGTAAGGTGTTTCAACTAAATTTTTAAAAACTTTATTGAAACTTGAAACTAATTGTATATTATAAGAAGGATTGGCAATCCTTCTTCAAATATATCCATGATTTCCCATGGTTCCAACTTTTTAAAAATTTCGGTTAAATTTGGTCAATTGAGTACAAGTTGTAAGGTGTTTCAACTAAATTTTTAAAAACTTTATTGAAACTTGAAACTAATTGTATATTATAAGAAGGATTGGCAATCCTTCTTCAAATATATCCATGATTTCCCATGGTTCCAACTTTTTAAAAATTTCGGTTAAATTCGGTCAATTGAGTACAAGTTGTAAGGTGTTTCAACTAAATTTTTAAAAACTTTATTGAAACTTGAAACTAATTGTATATTATAAGAAGGATTGGCAATCCTTCTTCAAATATATCCATGATTTCCCATGGTTCCAACTTTTTAAAAATTTCGGTTAAATTTGGTCAATTGAGTACAAGTTGTAAGGTGTTTCAACTAAATTTTTAAAAACTTTATTGAAACTTGAAACTAATTGTATATTATAAGAAGGATTGGCAATCCTTCTTCAAATATATCCATGATTTCCCATGGTTCCAACTTTTTAAAAATTTCGGTTAAATTTGGTCAATTGAGTACAAGTTGTAAGGTGTTTCAACTAAATTTTTAAAAACTTTATTGAAACTTGAAACTAATTGTATATTATAAGAAGGATTGGCAATCCTTCTTCAAATATATCCATGATTTCCCATGGTTCCAACTTTTTAAAAATTTCGGTTAAATTTGGTCAATTGAGTACAAGTTGTAAGGTGTTTCAACTAAATTTTTAAAAACTTTATTGAAACTTGAAACTAATTGTATATTATAAGAAGGATTGGCAATCCTTCTTTAAATATATCCATGATTTCTTATGGTTCCAACTTTTTAAAAATTTCGGTTAAATTTGGTCAATTGAGTACAAGTTGTAAGGTGTTTCAACTAAATTTTTAAAAACTTTATTGAAACTTGAAACTAATTGTATATTATAAGAAGGATTGGCAATCCTTCTTCAAATATATCCATGATTTCCCATGGTTCCAACTTTTTAAAAATTTCGGTTAAATTTGGTCAATTGAGTACAAGTTGTAAGGTGTTTCAACTAAATTTTTAAAAACTTTATTGAAACTTGAAAGTAATTGTATATTATAAGAAGGATTGGCAATCCTTCTTCAAATATATCCATGATTTCCCATGGTTCCAACTTTTTAAAAATTTCGGTTAAATTTGGTCAATTGAGTACAAGTTGTAAGGTGTTTCAACTAAATTTTTAAAAACTTTATTGAAACTTGAAACTAATTGTATATTATAAGAAGGATTGGCAATCCTTCTTCAAATATATCCATGATTTCCCATGGTTCCAACTTTTTAAAAATTTCGGTTAAATTTGGTCAATTGAGTACAAGTTGTAAGGTGTTTCAACTAAATTTTTAAAAACTTTATTGAAACTTGAAACTAATTGTATATTATAAGAAGGATTGGCAATCCTTCTTCAAATATATCCATGATTTCCCATGGTTCCAACTTTTTAAAAATTTCGGTTAAATTTGGTCAATTGAGTACAAGTTGTAAGGTGTTTCAACTAAATTTTTAAAAACTTTATTGAAACTTGAAACTAATTGTATATTATAAGAAGGATTGGCAATCCTTCTTCAAATATATCCATGATTTCCCATGGTTCCAACTTTTTAAAAATTTCGGTTAAATTTGGTCAATTGAGTACAAGTTGTAAGGTGTTTCAACTAAATTTTTAAAAACTTTATTGAAACTTGAAACTAATTGTATATTATAAGAAGGATTGGCAATCCTTCTTCAAATATATCCATGATTTCCCATGGTTCCAACTTTTTAAAAATTTCGGTTAAATTCGGTCAATTGAGTACAAGTTGTAAGGTGTTTCAACTAAATTTTTAAAAACTTTATTGAAACTTGAAACTAATTGTATATTATAAGAAGGATTGGCAATCCTTCTTCAAATATATCCATGATTTCCCATGGTTCCAACTTTTTAAAAATTTCGGTTAAATTTGGTCAATTGAGTACAAGTTGTAAGGTGTTTCAACTAAATTTTTAAAAACTTTATTGAAACTTGAAACTAATTGTATATTATAAGAAGGATTGGCAATCCTTCTTCAAATATATCCATGATTTCCCATGGTTCCAACTTTTTAAAAATTTCGGTTAAATTTGGTCAATTGAGTACAAGTTGTAAGGTGTTTCAACTAAATTTTTAAAAACTTTATTGAAACTTGAAACTAATTGTATATTATAAGAAGGATTGGCAATCCTTCTTCAAATATATCCATGATTTCCCATGGTTCCAACTTTTTAAAAATTTCGGTTAAATTTGGTCAATTGAGTACAAGTTGTAAGGTGTTTCAACTAAATTTTTAAAAACTTTATTGAAACTTGAAACTAATTGTATATTATAAGAAGGATTGGCAATCCTTCTTTAAATATATCCATGATTTCTTATGGTTCCAACTTTTTAAAAATTTCGGTTAAATTTGGTCAATTGAGTACAAGTTGTAAGGTGTTTCAACTAAATTTTTAAAAACTTTATTGAAACTTGAAACTAATTGTATATTATAAGAAGGATTGGCAATCCTTCTTCAAATATATCCATGATTTCCCATGGTTCCAACTTTTTAAAAATTTCGGTTAAATTTGGTCAATTGAGTACAAGTTGTAAGGTGTTTCAACTAAATTTTTAAAAACTTTATTGAAACTTGAAAGTAATTGTATATTATAAGAAGGATTGGCAATCCTTCTTCAAATATATCCATGATTTCCCATGGTTCCAACTTTTTAAAAATTTCGGTTAAATTTGGTCAATTGAGTACAAGTTGTAAGGTGTTTCAACTAAATTTTTAAAAACTTTATTGAAACTTGAAACTAATTGTATATTATAAGAAGGATTGGCAATCCTTCTTCAAATATATCCATGATTTCCCATGGTTCCAACTTTTTAAAAATTTCGGTTAAATTTGGTCAATTGAGTACAAGTTGTAAGGTGTTTCAACTAAATTTTTAAAAACTTTATTGAAACTTGAAACTAATTGTATATTATAAGAAGGATTGGCAATCCTTCTTCAAATATATCCATGATTTCCCATGGTTCCAACTTTTTAAAAATTTCGGTTAAATTTGGTCAATTGAGTACAAGTTGTAAGGTGTTTCAACTAAATTTTTAAAAACTTTATTGAAACTTGAAACTAATTGTATATTATAAGAAGGATTGGCAATCCTTCTTCAAATATATCCATGATTTCCCATGGTTCCAACTTTTTAAAAATTTCGGTTAAATTTGGTCAATTGAGTACAAGTTGTAAGGTGTTTCAACTAAATTTTTAAAAACTTTATTGAAACTTGAAACTAATTGTATATTATAAGAAGGATTGGCAATCCTTCTTCAAATATATCCATGATTTCCCATGGTTCCAACTTTTTAAAAATTTCGGTTAAATTTGGTCAATTGAGTACAAGTTGTAAGGTGTTTCAACTAAATTTTTAAAAACTTTATTGAAACTTGAA